CCAGGTCTGCAGTTTCGCCTGTCATGAACAGAGTCGTTAGTGTACAACAAGATTCCAGCGTAGAGAAACAATTGCTTGGCACCCCTAGTGTTTAAGGTTCTCATTATCTATGATCTTTGAAAGTGAGATTCTCTGACATTATCACTCCCAGGTCCTTCACATTAATTTTTCGTCCAATTGTGTGGGTAGAATTTGTTTTATATTCTGATATAGTTTTTACTTCGTTTTCTTTAGCAGAGTAATTGAAATTTGTCCTCATTGAACTTCATATTGTCTTCTGCAGTCCATTTGAAGACTTGGTTTATATTCATTTGTAGATCTGCAGTGTCCTCAGTGGCTGACACTGTCATGCAAATTCTAGTATCGTCAGATATGAGGTCTCCTTTGATTTTATTCTGGTCACTGTTACTTTGTTCTATTGGTTGGAAGGTTAAAGAACCACCTGGAAAAATAGACACATAAGCAGTATATTGTGATCCTTTATTGACAACGTTTCGCCCACACAGTGGGCTTTATCAAGTCACAAACAGATCTACCTGGGTGAAAGGTACGTGAGCATTTATAGGATGGAGTTAGGCGGATTATTATTATTATTATAATCAAAAAGAAGCGCTAAGCCACAAGGGCTATACAGCTGGAGTTAGGCGGAGAATGCTGGGTAGGTTGGATCTGATAGACCTACACGGGACTGGCGGCGCGTATGTAGTTATATGTGATAACGAGGAAGAAGTTATACATTATACTGCTTTTGTGTTTATTTTCCCACATTATTTATTCACATTAAGATCTATCCAACCATTTTTCCAGTTATTCCTTTACCGCGCATTTTATGCGCTGTTACACCACGATCACTCTTGTCAAAAGCTATCACAAAGTTAAGACACGGCTGAGGACTGATTACCTCATCTTTTGTATATAGTTCTACTGTCTTCAAGTTATGTCCTAGAATCTGTATTGATAAAGCCACTGGATGGCGAAACGTCTACAATAAAGATACCCAGATGTTACACATGTGTCTTAACTTTCATCTTGTCGGTATTGTACACCTTCCCTGCGCAGCTGTCACAAAGTCTGTGTTACTGCGTCTACATTGTTTGTCCTCCATTGCATCCAAGATCTTGACATATGTTAACTTTACTGTTAATATAAAATCAATATAAAGGTAATGAAGTGGATAGGACAAAAACAATACTTTTTATTAACATTTATTCTGTTACAAAAGATAAAATATTAAAAATTCTAGAAAATTGAAACCTACATATATACTATTAAACCTTAATTAATATATATATATATATATATATATATATATATATATATATATATATATATATATATATATATATACACACACAACAACCACTGTGAAAGAATAGCGAAATTCCAAGCGAAAGAGCTTTCGTTACTTCTCACATTATCAAAGAACTATAGTCCCTTGATAATGTGAGAAGTCACGAAAGCGCTTGGAATTTCGCTATTCTTTCACAGTGATTGTTTGCGAAAATTTGTGTATGCAATAATTTCGCAAAAATCATTCTGAACCTAAAGTAGAAGTTTTGAAAACAATGTGAATATTTCTTTTGAATAATATAAATTGGATTCCTATTTCATTAATAAAATTTGGGAAGAATTTAAGATATATTAGACAAAATTTTGGGTAGAATATAAACTGTGTTTCATGGATCACTGACTACCTACATCATCATAAAAAGTCAGGTGTTGTTAAGTAAGATATATGTGTAAGAGTTGGGTATCTTTATTCCGAAACGTTTCGCCTACACAGTAGACATCTTCAGACGAGTACAGAAAAGTTGGTAGAGGCAGAAGAGACGTGAAGACGATATAATCAGTCCATCACCCTTGAATATCTGGTTTTGAGGTGGTCAGTCCCTCAGCCTGGAGAAGAGTATTTTGTTCCATAGACTGAAACAATGTGAGGTTGAAGTGACAGTCTGGACACTTATATACTGTCAGGAGGTGAGATGTAGGCCACTAGTAGTAGCAAGAATGTAATTATTGAGAGGTCAGTCCCTCTCAGAATCAACCATTTCCACTTGTAGAAGTTGTCCAAGTTGCCTTCTGCTCTGTACCAAGAAAGATACCATTGTGTTGCAGTGTCTGACGGAGTGAACATTACAATGGTATAAAATACCAACAGGCATTTTTTACCCTTTTATAAGTGTCCATATTGTCACTTCAACCTCACATTGTTTCAGACTATGGAACAACACTTCTCCAGGCTGAGGGACTGACCACCTCAAAACTACATCTTCAAGGGTGATGGACTAATTACATTGTCTTCGCATCTCCTCTGCTTTTACCAACTTTTCTGTACTCGACTGTAGAAGCCTACTGTGTAGGCGAAACGTTTCGGAATAAATATACCTAACTGTTGCACGTGTCTCTCACCAAACTGTTGGTATTCTATACCATTTTAATATTTAGTCAGGTTTTGTGGGGGCACGGGGGGGGGGCAGCGAGGTGTAGTCTCGTCATTATATGCCTTCCTGTTAACCTTTTATTTCTATAGTTCCTTGATAATGTGAGAAGTCACGAAAGCGCTTGGAATTTCGCTATTATTTCACAGTGGTTGTTCTGCATATGAAATATATATATATATATATATATATATATATATATATATATATATTTTCTCCAGAAATAGAAGGTATAGCCATCAACAAAAATACAACCTGTTGGTATTTTATACCATTTTAATGTTCAACAAAAATATTCTTTATGTAGAAGTATGTTAATTCCGTCCAAGAAGGAAACACAAGCAGTTACGAGGTGTCGTGTATATTTTAAAACATTCTCAGTTAAAGTTTTGGAAACAGGAATTATCAGTGAGTTTTGGAATACACACATTCTCAAGCAGTCTTGGAATACAAACATTCCCATGTAGTTGATAAATTAGACACATGTGCAACTCTTGGGAATCTTTATTGAGGAAACGTTTCGCCACACAGTGGCTTCATCAGTCCATACAAAGAAGAAACTTGAAGAACAGGAGGAGAATGAGGTATTCAGTCCCTCAAGTTTCTCCTTTGTATGGACTGATGAAGCCACTGTGTGGCGAAACGTTTCCTCGATAAAGATACCCAAGAGTTGCACATGTGTCTAATTTATCAACATGTCGGTTCTCTGAACCATTCATCTACAATTCCCAAGTAGTCTTGAAATAAGCACATTCTTAAGAAGTCTTGAAATACGCACATTCTTAAGAAGTCTTGAAATAAGCACATTCTTAAGAAGTCTTGAAATACGCACATTCTTAAGAAGTCTTGAAATAAGCACATTCTTAAGAAGTCTTGAAATAAGCACATTCTTAAGAAGTCTTAAAATACGCACATTCTTAAGAAGTCTTGAAATACGCACATTCTTAAGAAGTCTTGAAATAAGCACATTCTTAAGAAGTCTTAAAATACGCACATTCTTAAGTAGTCTTGAAATACGCACATACTTAAGAAGTCTTGAAATACGCACATTCTTAAGAAGTCTTGAAATACGCACATTCTTAAGAAGTCTTGAAATACGCACATTCTTAAGAAGTCTTGAAATACCACATTCTTAAGAAGTCTTGAAATACCACATTCTTAAGAAGTCTTGAAATACACACATTCTTAAGAAGTCTTGAAATACACACATTCTTAAGAAGTCTTGAAATACACACATTCTTAAGAAGTCTTGAAATACGCACATTCTTAAGAAGTCTTGAAATACGCACATTCTTAAGAAGTCTTGAAATACGCACATTCTTAAGAAGTCTTGAAATACACACATTCTTAAGAAGTCTTGAAATACACACATTCTTAAGAAGTCTTGAAATACGCACATTCTTAAGAAGTCTTGAATACGCACATTTAAGTCTTGAAACAGCACATTCTTAAGAAGTCTTGAAATACGCACATTCTTAAGAAGTCTTGAAATACACACATTCTTAAGAAGTCTTGAAATACCACATTCTTAAGAAGTCTTGAAATACCACATCTAAGCTTAAATACACTCCCAGATGTGTTGAAATTCACAATCTAAAATTACCTCAGAACACTGACGTTTCAAGTTCCACTTATCATTTTCGTGTGAGAGTAAGTCACTTGGTTTTCCCCGGTGGTACCTTTGTAATTACAGGAAAAATACGACTATATATAATCTACATGCAAGCACTGACTATACCAGGCTAATAATGGATAATACAAATTATCTTGATAAAAAGAATCTGCAACATTCTCCATTGTAATACATTAAAAAAAACTGGATTCATTATTGCTTGTTTGGACAGGCCAAGTGATGTCATGCTGTTGAATTTATATAAATTGTGTCTAGTTTAAAATTCGAGTTGAAAATATAAGAATTATGTCAACTTCAGGATAAGTGATACTTCAGCTTTAGAATGATATCAACATGACACTTATGAGTTACTTAATGTTGCACTTAAAGTATGGTTGTGATGAACTTTAGTGAAGTTTGAGAACCATCTTATATCAAGTTCTCGTTAAAAGCAGTGTGTAGGTTATGTTAGGTAGTGTGTGTGTGTGTGTGTGTGTGTGTGTGTGTGGTGTGTGTGTGTGTGTGTGTGTGTGTGTGTGTGTGTGTGTGTGTGTGTGTGATGTCTGATGTAGTATCAGCACATGAAGGATATGTTGTGGTGGTGACAGTACCAGCACGTGAAGGATATGTTGTGGTGGTGACAGTACCAGCACATGAAGGATATGTTGTGGTGGTGACAGTACTAGCACATGAAGGATATGTTGTGGTGACAGTACTAGCACATGAAGGATATGTTGTGGTGGTGACAGTACCAGCACATGAAGGATATGTTGTGGTGGTGACAGTACTAGCACATGAAGGATATGTTGTGGTGGTGACAGTACTAGCACATGAAGGATATGTTGTGGTGGTGACAGTACCAGCACATGAAGGATATGTTGTGGTGGTGACAGTACCAGCACATGAAGGAAATGTGGTGACAGTACCAGCACATGAAGGAAATGTGGTGACAGTATCAGCACATGAAGGATATGTGGTGGTGACAGTACCAGCACATGAAGGATATGTTGTGGTGACAGTACTAGCACATGAAGGATATGTTGTAGTGGTGACAGTACCAGCACATGAAGGATATGTAGTGGTGACAGTACTAGCACATCAAGGATATGTAGTGGTGACAGTACCAGCACATGAAGGATATGTAGTGGTGACAGTACTAGCACATGAAGGATATGTTGTAGTGGTGACAGTACCAGCACATGAAGGATATGTAGTGGTGACAGTACTAGCACATGAAGGATATGTTGTGGTGGTGACAGTACCAGCACATGAAGGATATGTTGTGGTGACAGTACTAGCACATGAAGGATATGTTGTAGTGGTGACAGTACCAGCACATGAAGGATATGTAGTGGTGACAGTACTAGCACATGAAGGATATGTTGTAGTGGGGGACAGTACCAGCACATGAAGGATATGTAGTGGTGACAGTACTAGCACATGAAGGATATGTTGTAGTGGTGACAGTACCAGCACATGAAGGATATGTAGTAGTGACAGTACTAGCACATGAAGGATATGTTGTAGTGGTGACAGTACCAGCACATGAAGGATATGTAGTAGTGACAGTACTAGCACATGAAGGATATGTTGTGGTGGTGACAGTACCAGCACATGAAGGATATGTTGTGGTGACAGTACTAGCACATGAAGGATATGTAGTAGTGACAGTACTAGCACATGAAGGATATGTTGTAGTGGTGACAGTACCAGCACATGAAGGATATGTAGTGGTGACAGTACTAGCACATGAAGGATATGTTGTTGTGACAGTACCAGCACATGAAGGATATGTTGTGGTGACAGTACCAGCACGTGAAGGATATGTTGTGGTGGTGACAGTACCAGCACATGAAGGATATGTTGTGGTGGTGACAGTACTAGAACATGAAAGATATGTGGTGGTGACAGTACCAGCACATGAAGGATATGTGGTGGTGACAGTACCAGCACATGAAGGATATGTTGTGGTGGTGACAGTACCAGCACATGAAGGATATGTTGTGGTGGTGACAGTACCAGTACATGAAGGATATGTTGTGGTGGTGACAGTACCAGCACATGAAGGATATGTTGTGGTGGTGACAGTACTAGAACATGAAAGATATGTGGTGGTGACAGTACCAGCACATGAAGGATATGTGGTGGTGACAGTACCAGCACATGAAGGATATGTTGCGGTGGTGACAGCACCAGCACATGCCCTCCATGTGCTGATAATGACAGTACCAGCACATGGGTATGTGGTGGTGACTACCAGCCCATGAATATGTGATAGTTGTGACAGTACCACCACATGGTGGATATGTGGTGGTGATTATCTGGAGAGAGGTGGTGACAGTACCAGCACATGGAGGATATGTGGTGGTGGTGACAGACGTAATCCCTGGATTACTTATTAATGGTGACAATAGTGGACAGAGATGATTGTGTTTCGCCGAAGTCGTCGCAGTAACAATTATTCAACTAACTTACTATATTCATTGTTTTCCAATCACGTAACCCAGCTGATTTTGTCCTGTATATCCGAAATCCGTTAAATTAAAATCCATTAAGTCAAGAATTTGCTGGGGCGGTCGAGTGGGATGGAAAAATTACTAATAAGATCAGTACAAGACAAAACCTCTCATCGAGGACAGTGATTCTGATGACCGTCACATAAAAAATATATCTTGTCTAGATATATATGAGATAGATAAGCTATGTTTTTTTTATGCAGATAGACTCGTTTAAAGATGCAAAATATTTTTTTATAATGCCGAAAATTATGTATGGGTATAATATGGATAGTCCAAACATGAAAATTTAAAACAAAAATTGTTGATACCTGTTGGCTAATTTGCATGTGCATTTATCAGCTGGTTATGATGGTTATAAAGATGTGCCGGGTATGGACAGCAACAGACTGGTTGATCAATCATTCAACAGAAATGCCTGACCTCAGGCCGCTCTACACGAGTAGATGAAATTTCGAAACTGGTCTCAAGAATATCACAGGTATGTGAGGGTGTCAGTTGTAAGGGTGTTAGCTGTGAGGGTGTTAGCTGTGAGGGTGTTAGCTGTGAGGGTGAAACACTTGTGCCAGGGAAGAATAACACTGTGGGTGAAGATGATGCCTCTGATTCCCTGTCTCCAGCTGAGCCGCCATCATGATGTCATTTGTTTACGTGGCGGCTACGGACACAAATGGTGATCATCTTGCCTATGGCTGCACCAGCGCCCATTGACACTATGAGGTAGATGTTCATAGTCATAGCGATGAGCATAAGCAATGTGGCTATGACATATATGATGAAGTGCAGGAAGCCCACAGAGACCCACCACAAGTGCCTGCAAAAACCACTGGTCAATACAAAAGCAAACTGCTACACAGTACTATACAAATATTACATTCGACATACTGTTAATGTCACTCTTAAATTACTAACAACTGAAGGTAATTTAAGAAACAACTTTATCTTTAAAATATTTAACAAAAGTTATAAACTGGTAGTAAAATATTAGTTATATTTTATTGTTATGTTCTATATTTTATCACTTATAAATAGGAAACTACGATACTGAGGCGAGACTAAACACCAGAGGCTCCTGAGAACCAAAGGCCATTAAATAATATTTTCACAGAATTTCTGCCAATTAATGAATTCGTGCTAAAAATGTTTTAATATAAATAAAAACGTTCATTAACAAAACAGACGAGGATATAAAATTTACAAAAGACTCAAGTGATATTTGGGGAGTTTGGGACAGAAAAATAGAAACAATGGGAAGGAATGTGTGTATAAGTGAAAAGAAAGAGGCTAATAGGTACGTAGGGAGATGGGCTGATTTCTTTTATAATTAGTCCTAAGAATATTATTTCTGCTGGTGTTACTTTGGCTTACTACCTTACTCAGTAATTTTCCAGTCACACCCAAAAGCTGCAAACTGTACACTTGCCTATCCATTCCAATCAAATTTATTAACAACCTTTCACAAATTCTTGGGGCATAGTCATGTTTCATGTTTTCAGCAATGAACACAATATATAGTTTCTGTAAGCCTACATTTTTCATCTGTGTAGTCTTCGGATGTATCACTTAGTCACTCGATGCCATATACTAGGTTCATGAACGCAAAAGTTTACCGAATTCTCTGTGGAGTTGGTGATTAGGTGTCAATCTGCGAGACAGCCAAAAGTTTATCAGTTTAATCTATCTACAAGAACACAGATATGCTATTAGAACACACAACCAATAACATATGCATACAAAATCACAGCTAACATTCACACATGATTTGGGTCAAAGCTGAATTACAGTATCTGAAAAGATGTCTGGAATCATCAGTTATCAAACTAGCCAGCGCCATCAATCAAAGTGATGGGACGTTTACTTCATCTGTTCACATAGTGCATACTATGGCACAGTAGACTGAGACAAACCTGGCCTGGGCCAAGCTGTGGGAATTGACAAATTTTTTAAATCTATCAGAAATCTGGAGACTACTTGCCATTCAATTTCCGTACTTTTTTTTTTTTCCAAACTTCACTCATAGACGAAGTGAAAGTGACGGTAGGAACATAATCCCGCGGTCCTATTGGAACAATAATTGGCCCCACACAGCACTCTTCATGCGCACTGCACGAACACAAGCAGATGGCTTGGGGAATCGTATTTCAAGAAGTTGCTGTTAAAACAGAAGACGTATATAATTGTAACAACTCATCAGGGGGAGGTCAAAGGAGGAGGCTCCTCCCCATGAAAGGTTTGACGTGAGTAAAGGGGCCAGTTTGCACGTTCAAACTATCAACGTGGGCTACGAGGAGGTCGAGAATTAGAATGGTAAGTAAGAAGAATAGGAAAATGATCGCTGATATGCAAATCTGTTACCACAGACCAGGTATAGTCAAATGAAGTTGAAGAGAAGCAAATAGAGATGTATGTAAGAGAGTTCGAGTGCAAGGATCAAAATGAGTGGAGGTTAAGAAAAGCGAAAAAAGCCTGTAACTTCACGCCACAAGAATCACAGTGAGACCCTCCAGAGAGGATATGATGAACATTAAAATTACTTAACAAGAGGAGTGGTGTAGGGAGGAAAAAAAAAACAAGATCAACATCAGGAATAGATGACGGTCGTGGGGAAGATAAAAAGAGCACACTGTATACCATTTGTTCAAGTATATACGGGCTGCATTGTAATGCAGCAATAAACAAAGATCTGAGAAAGTGGCATACCAACGCACACAAGAAGTGCATTTTCATTAAATGTCCCATCATGAAAAGAATCTGATGATCGCAGTAAGACAGCCTGAGATGAGGAAGACAACAGTGGAGTGCAATTTTGGTTCTTGTAGACAGAAACGTACAGGGAAAAACTGGGAGAGTCATCTGAAGTTTACCCTGATTACTCCACTGTAAGCAAGTCATAATCTGGGAACAGAAGTATGACAGTAACATTAAACATGAGTTGTATACAGACTAGGAAGGTAAGTAAAACCAACATGTGGAGGTAGCGGGAAATTAGTAAGGGGTGAAATATTAGAACTCTTAGAAGAAAGGCATTGTGTAGAATGTTAAGCAAGGTGAGAATATGAAGCACTGGGGTAAATCAGTGTACATCACTGGTTTTTCTCTCCTCGGTTATTATAATCAAATAAAACACTAAACCGTCAGGAGTCATGCAGCGATGTAGGGCAGAAAATAGTGCCAGGGATCAGAAGTGAGGGAAGAAAAAGACTGGAAGGGACGCAAGAGCTATACGTCAAAGTTCGTGTAGTAAAGCAGTTTCTGACAAAAAGTAAAAAAGTGATCATAAGGCCAAGGCAGAGTCATCAGCAAGGAGGGAAGATAAAGTAAGAATGGTAGGGCGGCGGTGACGGTGGAGCTAAATTCTGCGAACTCGCTGGTAAACCAGACAATCCACAAGAAAGTGACGAACCAAAATAGGGACCTGACAAATCTCGCAGAGAGGAATAGGGTGTCGCTCCATGAGATACCAATGGGTAAGAAGTATGGCCGATGCAGAGATGGGCGAGCGCAGTCTCCTGAGTATGGCAACGGTGGTAAGAAGATAGCCGCAAACTCAAACGCTGTTTAACAGAATGTAATTTGTTATGTTGCGTATTTGACCACCATTGTTGCCAACAGTTGCGAAGACGGGCAGAGATGATGGTAAAATAGTGCCTGAATGGAATTCGTACCTCTAAAGGAAACCGCTAACCAATCAGCAGCGTCTGCCTGTTAATTGCCCCGCACATCAACATGTCCAGGGACCCAACAGAAAACTTTTGTTTTTGCTAGTTACACAGTGCAACCGAAGTTGAATACGAAGGACCACCGAATGAAGGGAATCAAATTGTTTATAGCAGTTGTAAGGTGCTGAGAGAATCCAAAACGATCACAAACGCCAAAAGGAGACAAGCATGTAATACGGAGAAGAGCTATGAGGATAGTATACAACTCGGCGGTAAAAATACTAACCGAGTCTAACAAATGACCTCGGACATCATCTGGGAATACTGCCGCGAACCCATGTTTGTCAGAAGATTTAGAACCATCTACATAAACAGCGAGGGCACAAGCATGTGGCTGGAAGTGATCACGAAAAAGAGAGGGAGAAGCAGCTGTAGGTAGGAGAGCTTTAGTGCACGGCAGTAGGGAAGAACAGACACAAACTGTTGGAACCTCCCAAGGGGAAAGGGAAAAGGCAGACGCTGACTTTCTTGCTGCTAAATATGATAATCTATGTAACTGTATTTGTGTATACCTGAATAAACTTACTTATAACATAAACCAGCTTAGACAAGACTAGGGCATAACACAAACAAAGGAGAGTCCTGTGATCTGGCCCCTGATGAATGATGAGCAAGAATTTTAAAGTGGTTTAACTGAATATGGTAAGCTGCTTTCAAAGAGGAAATGTCAGTCGGTGATCGAACAGAAGGCCAAGAAACTTGACCGCATCACATTCCGCATCCCATTATGAAGGGAGGCCGCTACCTGGCGATAGTCAGCGCCTGCGTAACCTATAGCAAAATCATCCACATAAAACGATGACCAAATATGCGATGAAAGAACAGACGGTAGATCATTTATAGCCAAGAGAAAAAGGGTAGTGCTAAGAACACAGCTTTGTTGGACTCCCTCAGCCTGAACAATGAGGAAAGCGAGGCGCCAACACAGACACGAAAATGTCTATCAGATAAGAAAGTAGCAAGGAAGGTCGGCAGATTACCACGGAGGCCTAAGGCGTAGGCCTGGGCTAAGATGTTATTACTCCAAGTGGTGTCATATGCCTTCTCGAGATCAAAGACTGCCAGAATGGAGTGTGTATTAGCAAAGGTATTTTGCACATACGTATCTAAGTAGAGAAAGGGGTGAAAAGAACAGTGGCCCGTGCGAAAGCCATATTTGCGAAAGCCGTATCAGACGTCTATTCATCAATCATTCCATCACCTTGCAAACTACACTGGTCAGAGCAATGGGACGATAGTGAGAGGTATCAATCCCCAGAAATGGCAGTACAATGGTAGATTTCTATTGCTGAGGGAGATCCCCTTATGTCCAAACAAGACTGAGGAGACGTAAAAGGACTGTAAGGGCTATAGAATGCAAATGCTGTAGCATTTGGATATGAATACCATCAGTCCCAGCTCCCAATGGCTGGCAAGTGGAAAGTGTGGACTCTAGCTCTAAGAGAGTAAAATATACATTATAAGGCTTCATCCCATTAGAAGAAAAAATCAAGGGTGATTGCTCCCTGGCAGACTAAGAAGCGAGAAACGAGGGACAGAGGTGAAGCCCTTGGGAGATATGGACAAGATAGTTCCTGATTTCCATGGCAACTTCAAAAGGTTTCATGACACTAACACCACCAACCTGCAAAACAGGAGCTGGGTCCAGAGCATACTTGCCATACAATTTCTGTACCTTCTTCCAAACTGTGCATATAGGGAAAGTTGAGGTAATGGTAGAAACATAGTCTTGTCAACAATTGCGTTTATCATCGCGTATGATGTGGCGAGTGACTGCTCTCTGTCACTTAAAATCCAGAAGACAATTTACAGTCCAATTATATTGATAACAGCCCCACACAGCCTGTTTCAAGCACACTGCACAGGCATATGCAGGAGACCACCAAGGCATGCACGTCTGAGAATCCCTGCCCATGGTTTGAGGAAGAGAACATGACACTGCAGTCAAACCTAATGTCGAAAACTGGTGCACCAGCTTATCAATACAAGACAAAGAAGGGTCCCCACAATAAGCAGTAAGATGAGAGTATTCTGTAAGTCTCAGTTCGCTCGTCCAAATTACCAGCGGGGGCTACGAGGTCGGGAATACATAGTA